TTGGTGGGGTGAATTTAGCCAAAAATTTAAGACGCCGAAACACGCATTTTGTCAAACCGTACGTCGGAGTGCCACGGAGGGATACGTTGGCCTGAGTGGAACAGTGGCACAGTGCGACTTCGGTTGACCGTACAAACGAGCCGTGGCGGTGTCAGTGGGTTTCATGGATAACCAGTCATTGGGCTCAATCGCCGCCTCGTTCCTGCCATTTATTAGGCCTTGGTTTCTCCGAGTGATTTGACTTTTCGTCTCACTGGCACAGCTTTGTTTTAGGAATGCAAGCTTTAGAGTAATTCTTGTGATTTTTTGTTGAAATACGATTTGCCCAGCACGACTGTTCAAGGTCCTTTGTCAGCTGGCAGAATAATTATGCCCTTGTTTGCTTTTAGGCCTTTTGGTGCTCGCAGTCCCAATTTACTAAGGTTTTTGCAACTGTTGTGTCGCATTAGTAAGCAGGAGGTTTGGTGACGGATCAAATCTTTCGCCTCTTCTGATGCATTTTTCGAAGGCAGCAGTGACTTCTGGGGTTGCTGCATCTGCTGTGGTAAAAGTGGTTCCACGTTCAAGGACTGCGAGTTGTGCGTTCGTGAGTTGTTAAGATTAAAGTTTATGAACAAGGACACCTAAGGAACTTATTTTAGTTTCGTATTGTAAATTTTTTCCAGCTTTATAGACGATTTCTTGTCCCATTTGACACGTACCTTCTGAGCATGTGTGAGACTGGTCAGATCAAATCCCTTCGATTCTTCACCAAGAGATGCCCAGAATGAGATTTGGATTGGCCTAGGCTATGCTGTAACGTTTCAGACGTTGATGTAAGTCGGAACATTGGACTTTCGTCAATCTTCTGCTAAGTTTAACTAGAGCCTTCCTTGCTAAAGCAGAATTCACAGGTGGTTTGTAAGTGAAGTTTTTGGTCCATAAATCAATAAATTTTCGGTTATTCGTTCAGTCACGTGTAGAAAATATCATATTTACCAAAAGAATTGTCTACGCAGCTTTATCCGACAAAAAATTGATTTATTCGGAAGGAAATTTCATCGTTTACTGCAATCGAGCAATTTGCTGTGGTCCATGCTCTGTCATAATTCAGAAGCATGTAAGTATACATCAAAATAGCAAATCCTTGTACACTGGTACACTCTGAATTCATAAGAGACGACAACGAGATGCTTAAAAACGTCCCTGGTCGAAATCTAAATAAACCTTTAGCCTTCGAATCAGAAGACAGTCGACTACATAGCGACTGGCAAAAAACACAGGCGCTTTGTAGACATTGCGCTAGAATTATGTAAAATGATAAAATAAAAAAACACGCAGACACAATACCTTTTTCATTTGATACTGAACACAATACCGTCAAGACTAGATTCAAATCGGTTTGCATACGATGCGGTGACTAACCAAGCACAGAGATAAAAAGACCGCCAGACTGTCCCGAGAGGCCGCGCCAACGAGAGTAGAAGAAAAGTTTATCAGCATGAGGTTCATCAACGTAACACGTCACTTGATATTTCTGGTCGATCAAATGGATTTTACGTTTTGACAATAAAAATGTGACCAAGCACTTCGGAACCTCAGAATCTAAATGAACCCGATTCGGTAAGTTCAGCTTTCATGTAACCATAAGCAAGGACCACTTAAATTTGCCAATCCGATCAGCAAATCTCCGCGATTGGGTGTCACAGAAATGGCCACCAGCGAAAGATCATTCTTATTGTTAAACTTGTAAAACGTTAAGTATTCCAGTCTACCTTCTTTTCATATCTAAGTTAGAAATAAATAAACCAGGGCGTCAACGGTTTTGGAAAAAGAAAATAAGCTTTTTTCTGGACACTCTGCCATGTTTTCACAAACAATGGACTGAGTCTAAATGTAAGCAAATAGAGTGCATATAACCGCTATGTAAAACAATGGACAAGTTCTTACGTTTACGATGAAAACACCTAAGTATTTTTTGCGAACGTGTAATAAACAGCTTAAAGTGCCAAATCATTTCGAAGGAATTGCCGAATACACCTGGCGAGCAAACAACCGATTGCCATACCCAGCCGGCTGGTGTGTAGCAGGAATAGCGCTAGCTATTAAAAGAAGACAGAAGCCCTCGACACGAGTTCATGCAACACACGATAAAAAAATTGCTAACTCGGACACTTCAGGCATAAGCGGACATTAACTGGCGGTAAAGCGTTCAAAGCACTGGCCCTAAGTCACCATGAATGCACTTGAAATTAGACACGAAATCGCTTGCAATAAAACATACACAGCTGGTGTCTCTTTATCGGAATAAATACACAGCTTATTTAGCTGCTATCTATTCTGAAGACTTATGCATTTACCTTCGTATAAGTGGACCCTGACCATAAAACAAATAATTTTTCATATGGCCAAATTTAAAAAGGCAATTTTTTTGCTTGTGGACGCTGTTACGCTGCAGTTCATGACCAATCTCTGAAATCCTGATGACGGAAATTGATGAGAATTTCAGGACGTCTTTAAAGTTGGGCAGTTTGCTTAGCGACCCGACCTTTCAATGTAGTTGGTTGTTCTTATGCAGAAAAGTTTTCTGTGTTAGACCCTTAAAAAATAAGTTTAAAAAAATTTGAGCGAAACGAATGTACGCTTTTTACTCGAGAAATAATTTATGTTAATAACTCTTGTACATTAAAGTTGCGCATTTGAGCATTTTTTTCCTTTTAACGAAAGTAATATTCCCTCGAGAGTTTTCATAAACAGAGTTCTCCGCAATCGAAATTAATTTTTTATTTGGTACCAACCGTTATAACTTTCTTTCTGACACAAATTTTATTTTCCGGGTGGCGGATGTTTTATAGAATACTAGAAGGGATATTATCTGATTAGTGCGACTTAGTAGCCTGGAGTTCATTAATACCTACACAGGCTAGGATTGTTTTACCGTCAACGTGTCGCCACAGACATGACCACGAGCGAATGTTTATTTCCATTTTGAACATATGAAACATTACTTTTTGTGCACTCTAGCTTCTAATCACATCTCATGTAGAAATGGAACAACCAGGACGTTAACATTTCCAGCAAACACATTCAGTATTTATCTGGAAACTCTGTCGTATTTTTACAATCAAAGGTCTGAGTCTAAAGGTAGGCAAGACGAGTGCATATAACCGCAGTAGTAAGAGAATGACATGTTCTTACTTTTTGGCGGAAATCTATTGGTTTTATTTGCAAAGTGTAACAAATGGCCAAAAGAGCCAAATCGTTCTTGCTCCTACTGTACAAGAATGCGGAGTACACACAGAATCGTCAATGGAATGCAATATCTAAGCACTTCTAAGGAGGTAACTTGTTAGAAACAATCTTCAGACTGATCCAAATCATGTTTGTTGTTGACATTAATTTTGGACAGCCATTTCATTTGACGATGACTGATCATGTTAACGTGAGTCATCTTATTATCCCAGACGACATTTTGCGTGCGAAGACGCTCGTTTTATTGGTTAATTCTTTTAATAAATTCCTCGTTTCAAAGCTTGTGACAGACACATAAACCAGAAACTGACTTTGCGCGTGATCGGATGAAAACAATGAAAATCACCAATTATTCAGAATGAAGTATTTAGCGCTTCCCTCAACACCCTCTGGTCCACACATCTGAGGAACAGGAATTCAAATAACAGCAAAATAAAAGAGTCTTTCTCGACTGAATCCGCACTAAGGCGTGATGCCATGCCGGCTCCGGTCACAGGGAGTGAAAATGCCATAGAGGCCACATTAAAAGGCCGACTGCAAGGTCCACTTTGTCTCAACGGAAACGATGATTTTCGTATGTGAGGTTGAACACACTAAAATCGAGATATGTATGGCTGTCTAGCGACGGCTAGTTAATCAGAATTAATCATCACCACCTCCATTTTATCTGTCAGTAGGACGGAAAATGAAATGGTCGTCATTACTGAATGTTAAGGAAATACTTGCAGACTAACCATCTACCGTAGCATTCTTTAACCATGACTGCGTCTTCTGTGAAATATATGTGAGTAAATTGTGGTCTATTGTATTAGCAATCTGGCGTCCAAATAATTGTAATTTTGAAGTTGTATGTCAGTGTGCGCACAAACAAGTCCAAATAATGCAGTATTGCAGCGAGTTTGACAGATCGCCCCTGGCTGGGATACAAAGGAAAATGCCAGCCCTAAGCAGTCGGGTTTAGTCGAAGTGAAAGCTTAAAACGCTTTCTGATTGTGGAATAAGCACAACTGTCATATATCAGGCTTGGCTACTTTTCGATAGCTACTGTAGTCCTCCCTAATAAAAATGCCTACAGCGTGGGGCATCCGCCAGCCGAAGTTGACCACAGCGAAAGGAATCATTGCATAAGGACTCGACCACCTTATGACTGCTTAGAACACGAGGGTTTTCCTTGGATTAGAAGATTCCTTACCAACGCAATTTGCACTCACGCATGCACGTGTACATTTTCGATCTCCATGCTGCCTTTTCGACACTTGAACAGCGACTTCCACCAGATCGATAATCGTGACCCATTCAAATCTACCACAGCCAGTAATGATGACGGCGATCGGCTTGTGCCTTGACTCGCTCATTCTTCTTGGCTTTACACTTATGCTTCGTGATTTTTTCTCAAACCCCTTTACCCATTGGATCTTAAATGTTCTCTGTTGCATGTTAAATGGTAAGTGCTTATATTTAATTCATTCATGCCATCTCATGACGTCAGTTAATTCATTGTTCATGGGAATTTTATCGTGCAATATCCAGAGTTTTCTCTACAGAGAATGGTCATTTAAGTAGAGGTAGACACAAATGCTATCTAATAAACGCCATGCATTTCTTTTATTGTAGGTTTCCCTGTTATGCCAACGTCGTTGTTTGTCCTGTTTCTTTCGTTGTGTTTTGTACATAAATTACATTTGTGCTACAAGAGGATCGGAGGGCGCGGGATATCACAGCACTTTACAAGTCATTCCAACGATGTTCATGCAAGCACTGATTACCGAATGCGTGAAAATAATGTTACGGCATCCGCAATTGATGCCGAGGTGTTAGCCTGCACAAACGCAGGATGTTATCATGCAGAGGTGGAGAAGAAATTTGAGGAGGAGATGGATGAGGGGGTCCAGGTGGAGCAGGAGGAAAAGGAAGAGGAAGATGGGCGACAGAAGGAGAAAGAAGAGAAGAAGGAGGAGGATGAGGAGGAGGAGGTGTTGGAAGAAGAACATGGAGCATCTCTTATTGTGGAAGCAGTAGATAACGCCTCGATACGGGAGGATGATTCTGAGAGCTCAGGCCACAGTAAGTGCAACAAATACTAGCATTAAACATTAATATATTTGCGAAGCTGTTAACTGCTCCCTAAATTCGCATTTGAAATCTGTAATAGACAGGACCGTGCAGTGCTCAATAACAGAGCTGAGGACGCAGAAAATCGTCCCAGAGCTTGAGTCGATTAAGGAGGTGTCGGAAGAGGAAGAGAAAGAAGACGAGGAGGAGGAGGAGGAGGAGGAGGAGGAGGAGGAGGAGGAGGAGGAGAAAAAGGAGAAGAAGGAGGAGGAGGAGGAGGAGGAGGAGGAGGAGGTAGAGAAGGTGGAGGTAGAGAAGGTGGAGCGGAAGGAGAAGGAGGAGATTAAAGGGAACGTCGACGGCGACGTCGACACGCTGAACGACTCAGAGATAGGCAAGAAGCAGACAATGCATAACCGACCGCTTGATTCAGTAACCGTTGTGAGGCGACCTCCGAGATGGAGGAATGTTCGTAGGTCGTCGCGTAAGTTCACAAACACGTCACTATCCCTCTTTGTTCGTCCATAGGCAACTTTATTTCTTTAGTCCTATAACTCTTTTATCACTTACTTATCGCTCTCTTTATTCACACTTCCCATGTTAGAAGCGTATACGCTGTTGGACTGGCAAAAACCAAACGCTTTTCGACGACGACTACGAGGAATATGGACGAAATTTGTCTGTTGCGGTCATTCACCTACCAAGGACTGAATTTACTCCCTACCCTCATGTACATAGATAAAATTTTGTATGTAGAACTTTTGTGCATGTAAATATTCCTGATTCTCCTCCCTTACTAATACATGTTATTGCGTTCTCTCAGTTCTGCTTAAAGAAGATAGAGAGAAATTGGAAGGAGGTGGAGGGGGAGGGGACGTGGAATGTCTGTTAATTGTATATGTAACGGTGCTTTTGTGACTTGGGCAGCTACAGCAGGTAAAATAATTGGAGTCATTTGAGGATATTGTAGTAACGCATTATTTATCGCATGAAATGATTTCCTTGCATGAGAGTGCAGGACGTAGATCTAGGCAGCCCCTTGTTTTATCCATTCGCGCTTTTCTAGTGGGCCATAACTTCGCTAAATCACAGGATGTTGGCATTCGGTAGGCATTCACCTGGCTTCCTGTGGCTGTTTCGCTGTAGTGCTGCCCTGTATCTTGTTTCTTCCACTTTATCGGCGACTCTGGATCAGAGAGAATACTTTGTGGTATTTGAAGATCTGAGGTTAAGTGATCGCTTTGCAACATGCAGCCACCCCCACTACTTTATTTGTTCGTTGGCTGACGATGCACATGATGTGTATGAAACGGTACACTTGTTCCAGTTCACCGTCGAATGGAGACACGGCCTTTGGGGGCTTTGTGAGAATGCTGAAGCCAAATTTTTTTGACTGTTGTGAAAAGGCGTTCGGTCAGTGCAGAATGTCGTCAGGGCGAGAGAGCACGTTACATGTAAGGCCCTTGATGGATCATGACTGTGAGGCAAAATGATCGTCCACTGAACTCAAGTTGATCGTCTGCCACACACAAATCTCTAACGGCATTATTAAAGTCATATGAGACGGGATGTGGGCATATCTGTATTCCTGGCTGTGCTCATACAGGGCGCGTGCATTGAAAATCTCATGGCCGATTTCCAGGATAATTGGCCTGATCCGACAGGAACTCTGACGATGACCATGATGTGAATGATGGGATAGATTAGGCAGATGAGGCGAAGGAGTATGCGGTGGGCAAGTGGGAGGATGGGAGGGTGGAGGTAGGCTAATGTGAAAAAACACTGGACAACTTATTGTAGGCAGCTTTGGCATATGAATGTAACCACAACCGGCGTCTACTAGCTTCTCTTCGTCGTTTTTTTCAACGAAGCTTGTACCTCTTCTCCGCCGACTGCGATCATTTTGAGATGGTCATCAAAATACCTTTTTATGTGTATAGCTTGTAAATATGCCCCCTTTTCCAGCACTCGCTGTTTTATTTAGTTCGAATATTCATATTAGCCGTCGAGGCGAGCCGTACACGCCTTTTTTGACATGATTTGCTCAACTTGCGCGCATTTACTACCGAGGATTCTGGAAGGTACTGTTCAAATGAGTGCTTCTGCTGGCCGCACATTAATCATATTCTGCACCATTTTTGCTCGATATGTGATGAACTAGAGCCAGTTCTTTGGCGATGTAATTACCGAGAATGTGCACGAGCTTCCTTGCACTCTGCTCGATCAGCACCTTGCCCTCATGTAAATTCCGGTGGAATCAGAATACCTCAGCAGGCCAACAGCTCGTAATCCTCAGAAGAGACAGAGACGGAATGGCCGTTCGGGAATGTTGACGATAAGCGAAAAATGGAGAAGGAGGAGGAGGAGGAGGAGGAGGAGGAGGAGGAGGAGGCTACAGCATATTTTTCTAACTTATTCATGCAAGTTATTCTGACGAACGTGTAATCCAAGTATGAATATAGGATATTGAAATATTAGATTTGCGCAGGGCAGCGGTGAATGCCCGATGCCTGTTTTTTTTAATAATTTTGAACAAATTTCAATTTTTACGCTCTTATGCGTCCGTGAGATGTGACACTCCAGCTCTCTCACCTACTGCTGCATACATTAGACAGGAAATCAGAAATAAACACTGGCATCTTTTCATTTAATAACTCTGTTTTTTCTCTAGAATAGAAAACATTCCTGTTTGATGAGAAACTTTGAATGCACGTTTGATGCCTCTCTCTCTCCTAGTTTCATTATTCTAACTTTATTATCTCTAATTCGTAAAATCTGAACAAGCATTTTATGCTATTATAAGGATATAGCGTTCACGGTTTTCAGTTTGATAACATCCATAAGCTAGCTTTCGCCACATCCTTTCACACCTAGTGGTTATTGTGATGTCTATTTTGTCTATAATGCATGTTGTGGTCGTTTATGTTTTTGTTGTATTCGTGTAACAACGGTAGAATAATAAATCCAAATTGACTAAAATTAGTGCAGTAATACAAAGTGAGTCCCGGCAGTAATTATGCCAACAGTAAACCCCTAAAGGGTTATGAGGAA